TATCTTGTTGTGGTGCTCAAGTATTTAATAAATTCTGGATATAAGTCCCTTATCTGATATGTTATTACCGAATACTTTTTCCCAGCAATTGACAACATCTTGATAGATAGAGAAGAGATTGAGATTGTTAAGAGCTTTAGCTTACATGACTCCACAATCAACCTTCTTCATACCAACATCCAGGAAATCAAAAGATGAATTACACTGCTGTCTGAGACTTCTCTGGGGTGCTGAAGAACAATGATTTCGATAGACTAAGGTATGCCTCATCCAGGCCATGATCTTCGCAATCCTTGTGAATCAGAGAGCTTCACAGTGACTAAGGATGATAGAAGAAGAATCAATTCCTTTGAGTTATTGTGCTAGAGGAGGGTATTAAGCCTACCATATACTGCTGAGAGAAGAAGCAGGTCCATCCTGGAGAAGGTGAAATTAGGCTGCTCTTTAGAGGAAAGGTGCTCTATCTCACATACTTTGAGCATGTTGCCAAGAGGGACTAATCTTTGGAGAAGGACATCATGCCTGGAATGGTGGAGAGAGCACACGAGAGGAAGACTGTGGGCTCATTTACTGGGGTACTATTGGTAAGTGGTTGGAGACAATGAAATTGGTTCAAAATAGAGCAGGGTTCAGAGCTGTTTTACATAGGGGTCACTATGAGTCACAAACAACTCGATGGCACATAAATACAATGCAACACTATGAAGTCGTAGGAAGATGGAGAAAATACTGAAATTGTTGATAATTTCATCTTATTTGAACCCATAGTCAACACCCTTGGTACCAGCAGTCAGAAAATTGGAAAAGGTATTGCATTGGGAAAATCTGCTGTCAAGGATCTCTCGAAATAACTGAGGAGCAATAGTGTCATATAGAAGACAAAGGTGCACATTTTCTAGGACACAGTCTTCTTAATTACTTACTGTGCATCTGAGGGCTGGACAAGGACTAAGGATGCCAGAAGAGGAATAATGCCTTTGAGTTGTAGTGTTGGCGAAGAGAATGAATATTCTATGAACTGTCAAAAGAACAAATATGTCTTGGAGAGAGTGTAGCCAGAGTGTTCCTTGGAGGCAATGATGGTAAAGTTTTGTCTCACATACTTTGGAGATGTCGGGAAAGGCTATTCTTGGAGAGGAGCATCATGCTTGGAAAAGTGGAGGGTTGATGAAAGAGACAACAGCACTTGACGAGATGGATGAACAGAGCAACTGCAGCAATAGGCTCAACTATTTCAGAGATGATGATGGCACACAGTAGGATAAGATTCAGAACAGTTTTTCATAGGGTCACTATGACAATAACTACAATAAAGGCTGTATTGTGATAAGGGGATAGATAATGGTACCTCTAATGGTGGAGTCTAAAGCTCAAAGTTAGGAATGCAGGCTGCTCTGCAGGCAGTCTGGCATCTGATTTAAATGCCAGGCCTCTCAGGCTGTTGGAATCCATCAATTTCTCAGAGGAAGAAAGATGGACAATCTTCTGTGTGACTTACAGCCTCATACAGCTGCTGGAAGGTCAGTGATGACTTGGTTCTGACTCAGCAGCAAGGAGTTGAGTTGAGTCCATGCTTGTCCCTGGACATTGAGGTCATCTCATTGAGCCAGTCTTATGGAGTAATTTGGGTGTTATTGATGCCATTAACACCCCTAAATCTTGTTTTGTTCTCTTGGTCATTGTTGTTAGGGCCTTTGGAGGTGACTATGACTCACAATACAGATCTGAACCTTGCCCTCTCCTGTGCCACTCCAAGCTCAAGTTCATGTTGTCTGTCATGTTTAAGTCCAACTATATTTTCTTCCAACATATTTAAGGTAGCTTTTCTTTGGAGTTTGTTTAGAGTAGTTTTAGGTTTATCAAAAAAGTATTACACAGAAAGGAAAAAGTTTTTACATGCACTGTCCCCCAGAATCTTTTAGGTCAGTTCACCTTACACAAGTATCTGAAGGTAAAAAACACTCACAAATTATGTTACATTCCACAATGGAACACTACACAGCACGCAGGAGCAATGATTTTGTAAATTACTACCTATCTTGGGAGGGACTGGAGAGCATTATGCTAAGTGAACTAACTCAGTCCCATAAAGACAAAGATTGTATAAGACCATTATTGTAGAATGAATATTAGGATCAAAGAGGTGTGGGATGGAAGCACAGGGCTGAGGATGGGGGGCAGGCAATAATCATAGGATCACACAGTTCAATGGGTGGAAGGAGTCTAGGGTGAAGCAAACGGAAAAGATTCAGTATATGAACTTTGTAAATAAACCAGTATAAAAAAAATTTAAAAACAAAAGAAACAACACTTGCAAGAACTGTACTTTGAGCTGTTTCATTAGATTATATTACAAACAGCAACTAGTGTAGTATTTGTATTTGGCAAACCTGTTGAGAATCATTAAAATGTTGGAAATGCCTCAGGGCTCACCCTCCAGCCGTGGTTTTTCAGTGCTTGTTGTTGTTATGTGCCATCATGTCACCTGTAACTCATAGCGACCCTATGTACAACAGCCCTAAACTCTGCTCTATCCTGTGCCAATTAATGCACTGTCTCTGACGCACCTACCCCCACTACCCCACTCACTGAATCAATCCATCTCATTGAGGGTCTTCCTCTCTTATGCTGTCCCTCCACTCTCCCAAGCATGACATCCCTCTCCAAGGACTGGCCCTGACTTGCAACATATCCAAAGTGTGTCAGATGAAGCTTCAGAATCCTTGCCTCCATGGAGCTGACTGGTTTCACCCTCTCTAGGATGAACCTCTTCATTTTCTTAGCAGTCCATTCAATACTCTTCTCCAGCACCACAGCTCAAAGGCATCAATTCTCCTTTTACCCTTCCTAGTCATTGTCCAGCTCTCTGAAGCATAGCAAGTAATTGCAAAGACTGGGTCAGGGACACTTTAGTCTCCAGACTGACATCGTTCCTCTTCAGTACTCTGGAGAGGTCTCTGACAGCAGACTTTCCTAATGTGTAATCGCCAGCTGAAACCGACCTGCGGGTTCATACGTGTTCTAGAGTGGAAAGTGTGCGGATTAAAAGAGGAGCAGGGACACGAGAGATTGGGGCAAGACAAAGATTCCTGATCAAGCCCAAATTTATTCGATGAATTCTGCTATAAATAGGCAGCGGAGTAGGCCAGGCTGCCAGGGAACCCAGCCCTAGGTTATCAGTTTACAAAAGAGAGGGAGGGGCATGCCTCAAGGTGTTGATTTACAGGTGCTGATTTAAGAGGTAGGCATAGTCCCAGAGATGGACAGGGGTGGCGGCTGCATGTACTCAGGATGGCTTCCTACACTAATGCAATTTGTCTTTTAATTTCCTGGCTGCTGGTACCAAAAGTGTTGATTGTAGAGCCAAGCAAACTGAAGCTGTTTACAATCTCAATCTCTAAGAGGCTGTAAATTACAAAGGAGGAAGTTTGTGCATCATCCTATCACAGAGCAGCTGGTGGATTCAAACTGTCTGGCTGTGGCTTGGCAGCACAACTCTTTACTCTCCAGAATCATAGCCTCGTCAAATTGATGCAGAAAAATAGATCAAAACACAGGTAGTAAAGGATTTGGTGGAGGAAGGTTTAAGGAGGAAGCTTAGTGGCATGGTGGTTAAATGCTTGGCTGCTAGCTTGAAGGTATTTTGAACCATCAAAGAACAAAATTCTTAATTTTATTAGACGCAAAATGGAAAAGCAACAACTCTCCAGCTGTCTGACCCCCATCCAGTTCCCAGTGCTAGGAATCTTTATGGAAAGAGACAGCCCATCCTTCTCCAGAAGAATGGATGGTAGAGTTGGACTGTTGGCCTTTTGTTAAATAATGTTACAACGTGAGGTAGGGCAGCTGTTGTTCTCATAGCAACAAAATACCTGAAGCTTTTAAATAACTATTGACATTTATCAAAGTTCATAGAATTTCTGGAGGCATGTTCTTTAGGAAGTGGATGCCACTCCTACTTCCAAACCAGTCTTAAACTGGGAGTTCCACCAACTATGGGTAACCGTTATTATATTATGTGACAGCCCAGTGGCACAAGGTTCAGAATCACAGCAACCCCAGGTTACCTCAGTACAGCATATTGACAGAAGAGTGCTGTACCACTTAGAATAAAGTTCCTTCAAAATATAATAACAAGCAACTTAAATACAAAGGCCATCCCTGAGGTCTTGTTGACTCTAAACCGAGGCTTAAATAAAAACTAACCGAAATTAGTATGTTATTGTTGTTATTGCCGTTGAGTCGTTTGCAAGGTGTAGCGATCCTATATACAGTATCATTTGAAAATACAAAGTGCTCCAAGATTTCTGAGTGAACAGATATGGACACTCTTGCTGTTATATCAGGAACAGGAGCTGGGTTAGAGGCATTTCCAGGCATAGGAGGAGCCAAGGAAGACTGACTGATCAGAAGTCAGTGAAGACAGGGAAGGTGCTGAACGGGTTGATGAAGATGTCACTGGGATCATAAGGGGATCCTGCTGCCTTGATATTG